TCTGTTTTTTTTTAGCGCAGCATTACATAACTTCTTCTCTATTGGTAAGCGGCAGCAAGAAAGTATTAATTCAAAACAAAACTTAATGTTTCTAGGTAAAGATAGAAGTTGAACGCCATATTTTACAACTCAAACAGTAATTTGGTGTCTCCGTATTAAAAAATAAAACAGTTTCTACTCGAGAACAGTTAAAGTGCAAGTAATCACATTTCACCTGCGATGTTGTCTGTACATTTTTCATTAAAATATATTTTCATTTTTCTGTCATATTATTTTCATTTTTATTATACATTTTTCCGTATAAGGCGACATACAAACTACAAAACGCATTCTTCTATTTACAAAATCTGATTTTGGAAGGTGATCATTTGCGCAACCTGTGAGACATAAGACAGCAAGAAACAACTTTGTCAAGAGCAAAAAAGTGTTAACGTAGTTTATTAATATATTTGTGGATGCTAAACGCTTACACACGTCGTAGAAATTAAGAAAAGTTTACAACTATCCATTTCAATCAAGACTTAAATATTCGCTAATCACTTTTTAGTACAAAGAAGTATTAATTGGCGATAGCACATGTTATACCCTTGATTTTAGAAATGTAGGAAATACTCACCCTCAACAATCACTTTTTGTTGTGGATGATTATTTCATACCTCACATTAAGGATTATCACAAAAATCTGCTATCACCACGGAATTTATACCATTGAATTTCTTCCAAAGAACTTGGTACAGAATACGTCTGAAACAATTGTCTGGAAAAAAATCTGTTAAATACGAAGATTTTTTGCTTTTCACTCGCAAAAATGAAGATGCCGAAGAAAGTAGTTATTCTCAATGTCTCTGATGTCAATAGTGTATTTGCAAAGTATTTCTTTGTAAAAAAGATTTTTTAAATCTCTTCCTCATTTGTTTGTCAAAGAAATTGATTTACACGTAAGCGAGTATGCCATACACGGAGCTTATTCTAAAGATGAAAAAGAAAATTGTAATAACTGGAAAAAATGATGCATGGAGCAAAAATGAAAAGAGAAACTAAATTCCGCAGCCAATGTTGAAGGAAGTCACGGAAAGGGCGAATCTCTGGAGAAAGAATTCCATGACAGTCACAGGCGCGCGTCGCGAGAATTTTAAAGAACGTCTGTATTCGTCGTGCGAGGGTGGGGAGAACTTGCAATTGTTTCGAAAACAAACGTCACAGCCACAAAGAACAATCCAAGCACAAACCAAAGCAGCTCGACTAAAAACTTGAATTTTTCCAGTTTGTATTACGTTTACACACAATGATGAGATGGGTTTTATAAAGTATAAATTCATCTGGGATCTCTTTATAAAGAAACGGTTATCAGTGCTTCAGTAATAAGTCCTAGAAAGTATATTTCATTCATAGTTTCATTCAACATGTACGTACAAACGTAACGTAAACGTCGGGAAGAGCTGTTGTTTAATGACTTCTTAAAAGTGTCCTTGGCTTTTACGTAATAAAATGTAAGCCAGAACATGACGCAATGAAAGGTCCGTGAACTTCTAAAAGTTCGTAATCTAAATATTCCCATAATTCGAGGGAAATATAATGTTTGGAAGATAAATAAGGCTTAATACCAATTGTTAGGAATACTTGAAACATATTTTCTATTACAAAACTCGGCATCGCATCGTTCAGAGTACGTATAATATATTCGTATTTTGGCGAGACTGCTGTCTGTTGGAAGGCGAATAAATAGTGTATACGGCCGAACGCAGGAGAGCTCTCCTATACCCCTCCTATTCTGTCAACCTCCTACTTTCTATCCCCCTCTCACTCGTTTGTTGACTAAGCTAACCAGAGCACACATTACCACCTGCAGTGTTAACCTAAAACAGTTTATTCGACCGCCGGTTGGCCAGTCTTCTTTTAAGAGGGTGGGCTACTCCCAGAGCTATCCAGCTTTCTTGATCACTCAATAAACTCTTATTATGAATAATAAATTTGAGAAACTTGTTCACTATTTTTCAATGCGTGGACACAAATTTTTGCCCTGCGGTTCGGATTTTGGGGTACTAGAAAGAAAGTTACGGAGACAGACCAGATTATTAACTTCACATGAAATGTCTTCTCTAATGCTACAGGCAATCGACTCAACATCAAACATGCAGATACACAAGAAATTCTAAATTTCAGAGTCTGGTGGCCTACCTATTTAAAAAACTGTCTTTCCAGTGAAAGTTTAGAGAAAAATATTCCACGTGATTAAGAAATGAGCAGAATATGAATTCCACGTATAAGAATGTATTGTAAGTTGTAAGTCAGCAAAAAAGGGCACAAGTCATATAACAATATAAATCACTTTTAGGGTATTGTTGAAAAAATTAGAAATATACATATTTTAAATATTTTTCTAAATTAGGACGTTAGAGTAGTATTTTTTCCAAAAGTTTTAAAGTCCTCGTGTATGGAACAAAAATGTTTTTGTATTTCCTGAAAAATTATGTTTCAGTGACTCATGCCCTCTGTGAAATCACCGATTCAAGTTGTCAAACCCTGAAATACTACATACAAAACTCGTTAGGAATATCTTAGGCAATTAAACCAAAAAAATAATTATATTGAGTCGCTATAACAGAGCTTTTTCGTCCGATTTCTCTGTTGCTTTGAGCGCGTGCTGAAATTGTCCCTTGTTTGGTTTTTGGGCATTAATGTAGCTTCATTACGCGCTCGTTTTCCAGAGTTCAGTGGTGAATATTGTTAATCAAACTTCATGTTCATGTTCGTGTCGTTCCAAAATCGTTCATGTCCTCGTTGCAGAACGTAAATGCCTTCACGAAAGGTACGATGAGGGCTAACGGCCTAAGTATGTCGCTGATTTGCGTTTGTAAATAGGTTTTATTCCACAGGAGTGACTTTTTGTTACAATTATAGACAAAACGGTAGTTTCCACTTCTATTCTTAATTAAATTTGGGTTGGGGTAGGGATCCCAGAATATAAGGAAACACCCACAGAAAACACTTCTCCCTATTGAACTACACATACCTTTTTACGCCGTTTCTGACTTTAAATTATTAAAATATAAATAAAGATAACAGAGAGATATCTGTTCCATACCTTATCATAAGATACAATATTGTTATCTAGAATGGGCTGTTTGTTGGTTTCGTGACTGGTTATTTTCAATTTTCAAAAACAAATTTTGAAAAATGTCTGAGAGTTCATCGTCGTAGTTTGTTCCTGAATCAAACACCTTTTACCAAAAGGCAGACGTTCCACACAACACAAAATCATATTATTTAATGTGGTTCCTCTACTCCATTCAAGAGTGGAGGAACAATAGTAGCCCACAAAATCGTATTTTCCTTTTATTAAAATCACTGAAGTAAATAGAGAAAGTAACGAAGAAATTAAAGAACATTTAAAACAAAATAGAGTGTATTAACAATTCATTCTACACAATGAGTATTGTGTGCCAAATGCCTATTATTCACCTTTCATTTCATGCTTTATTTCCTACTTTAGATTGGACTTGTGTACTATTATACTGACAAAACACATAAAGTTACACATATACATTTCAGCAAAGATAATGCGTCTCAAACGGATGAAATAGTCAAACCCCTCTAGTCCAATTGATACTTTATGGCTCGAATTTTCTCTCCACTTACAGTGGATTGAGCCAACGTGCATCACATCGCAGGTCAAGGAAGCACGGTACTCACAGAAAAAATGTCAACTTCTTGAGTGCGTATTTATCACATGTTGCTCATTTCTTTGTTGTCATTTGTACAACACAATAATGTTCATGCTGAATCCGATTTTACAACCAGGGTTTTTAACCTTTGGGAGAAGGTGAAATAATAATTATGATGAAGGTTGAAATGGACATTCACATACACGCAGACACACACACACACACACACACACACACATACAACCATGCTCGAGGCGGGACTCCAACCCGCGAATCTTCAGTCCGAAACCACCAGGGAACTAGTCATATAAAAATTACAGTAGTGGTTTGCTTGTTCGAGGGACTTATCCAACATTTTTCTATTTGAGTTCAAAATTAAAGAAAAGTTTCGGTCGTGACCTTGAAACTGCATTTGTGATCGTAGCATGCGAAAAACGTTTCTACCTTTTTAGATACAATCATACATAAGAAAGTCCCATAAACGACTTCAGTATAGTACAAGACTTTGTGAACTGCAGTCTAACATCCACCATTTCACTAGTTTCCTCCATCAACCTTTGGCTAATCCTGCTTGAGTGCGGCTCATGTTTCAAAACTCCAAATTAAAATATATTTAAAACGTAATGTTTTAAAGCACAGTGTTTAACAATCTGTTTCGTATAGTGTTAAGTTGTAGGATTTCGTGACAAAAAAATACCCAGTAAGTCGAGGGCCAACGCGCCGCTTACTTCTTCCCCAGACTGACACAAAAGACACCATATCTCAAACCTGTGTATTTGTATCTGTCATAAAATCGAGTTTCCTTCATTGTCAGTATTTCAAATAACGGCTAGCGAGTTAAGATTGCTTGGAATCTGACTAATGGCTAGGAAAATTGGAAAGTGAACGCTACACTCACCCCTCGATCTACGGTGGGTTTAATAAAATGAATACAAAAATATTTAAATAGAAATATAACTTTACACCTACTAGGTGCTCGCAACTTTTGAAACGTGAAATATATTTTTTGTCCTCCTCTGTTATAGAACCGTGGGTAACTCATAGGTTTCTCCTCAACTGTCAACTTTTTATCATTAAAAATAAAACTGACAAAAGAAGTCTTGAAGGCCGTAGATAATGAACAGGTTTCTCCATTACGTACATTAATATAACACTATACCATCAGCAAAACAGCCTGAAAATAAGTTGATAACTACCAAAGAAATGAGGAAACAATTATGCATAATTCCTCGATAAGATAATGTCTTGTGAAAAAGGAATCACAAATTCCTGACGTATACAAAGGGGAACGGAGAGAATATAAAGCGCGAAGTTGAACCAGCGGTGACAGATAAAATGGGGCTTGGAACGCGCTGTATGATCTTCGCAGCGGTGCTGCTCGTCGCGGTGTCGGCAACGGCGCAGGCCCAGTGCCCAAAGATGCCGTCAGACACTTTGGGTCCGTGCGTCGAGGACTGCGGCAGTGGATGTACGAATGGGACGATCTGCTGCTCCAATGGCTGTGGGCACGAGTGCATGAGACCTGTGGGACATGACTAGCCAGCGGGTCAGTAAAGACCCATTCACAATGCAAACGTAAACATAAGCATGGCGTTAACATAAAAGTTAGGACTACGTCCATAAGCGTACTTATTAACAATGCGTTCGCATATGCTTAACATGTAAGACGTTAACTTAAAAGCTTCAAGCTTCTGTGCTTATGCGTAAGTAAGACATACGAAATGAACCAATCACAGTAGGTTAACTCAAAATAGATAATCGAAAGAGGAGTGAGTCGATTGACGAACTATTCGCCATACAGGCCATGAACACAATTGATACCTCGAAATCGATTCTCACATCCAAGCAATAGTAAACTAGAATATCTCACAGCAAATAGAAACTGTTATTTTGCTTGCGTTTATGTTAGTCATTGTGAATACTTCAGTCTATCACCAATATTAATGTTTACGTCTATGCGTTATGCTTATGTTTACGTTTACATTGTGAATGGGCGTTCAATCTAGCGCAGTAAATCGGGCTGGACGCAACTCACAGTATCTTCTGATAACACTCAGAAGAAAGATATGAACTGCTCGAAAAAGCGAAAGGTGAAAGGAGATTGAAAAGGAGAAAAAAAAGTTGAATGAAATTTTCGTAATAGAGCGGTAGCAACCTTTCTGTAAGGTTGTCAAATAATGGTAGGAGCAGGAAACTTTTCCGGGTTCGATAGGGGACAATTTCTTCACATACCACAAATTTGTAATGTATTTACATTATATAACGTCCATTTGCATTCAGAATTGAAAATTTACGGCACAATCTCAATTAGCATTAACCGATTTCTAGTAACACATTTAGTTCATTATAAAAATATTTACTAAATTCTAGAGAGTTATGGCTTTTTACGAAAATATGTAAATATCGGTGTTAAATTAATTAAACATGAATAAAGGGAAACAAAAACGAAGAGAACTGAAAATATTGCTATATAAGGTTGTTTTCGATCCCGTTGTCTAATGAGATTCAGAGACTAGTCCAATGGCTACTGCCAACAATTAATTAATTGTTTGGGATTTTTGAAATACGCAAATGGTCTCACAACATTACCGATTACCCCTTGGTTATCATAATCTCCGTTCAAAAACCCATCGACCTCAGCAGGTTTGGACCTGAGATCTCACTTTGTCACTTGCTTGGCCATGTTATGTTATTAAAAGTCCAAATTATTCTCATCAAGTGATTGCATTCGAAAAGTTCATCGCTTTCTCATCGCGAGGCTTTGCATGCTCCAACAGTGGACCGAATATCCCCTAGCGGTAGCATTCCAATTAGACAATATTATAAATCTTCTCTTGAGCTAATTCTGAACTGTAGTATGCGAGTTATTGCGTTGCAGTTGATTCGTTCGACTCGATTATCCTTCTGCTTTTGCATTCCGTCACGCATTCGGACATTTGCTGCGAGGGCACGTGAGGGAACAAGATTGGTTTTCCCGGAAGCGTCATCCAAAACGGAAGTAAACGGTATTCACATCCATCCGGCTGAGAGCACAGTCACGTTGACAAAAAACTCCGAACGTGTCCTTTTATGGTGCCTCTCAGCACTGCTCGCTCATTTGCCATGGAGTCCCACCGTCGCCTGCTGGTGCTGTCGCTGGTGGTGTTGCTGGTGACGGCGTTGGCGGTATGTGCGGAGCAGGACCCGCGGTGTCCTCCAGTGAAATCCGGGATGGCGGGTGTGTGCGGTGAAATGTGCGGATCGGGCTGCACCAACGGGCAGATCTGCTGCTCCAACGGGTGCGGGCACTCGTGCACGACTCCCGCGAGCTAGCTGGAGGCAGGTTGGTTGAAAACGGGAGGACGCGTTACTTTTTCACATCTGTATATTTAAAACAATGAAGGGTTTTGTTGAGAAAGCAATTAGAACTTTCAACTCAACCAAATTTCGTGTTTTTTTTTTCTTTAAAGAGAACAGGGGGCTCCACATGCTTTTATAATCTGGCGTTATAGACAAAACATTATATTTTAATAATATAATAAAATCAATTAAATGAACCTTACTGCCACCATTTGTTCCTTATTATTTTCTAGACCAACTACAAATATAATTATAATACAATTAAAGGAAACCCTTGCACCATGCGGTTATAGTTGTCGAAGAAAAAATAGCGAGAGTTCGAAGTTCACAAGGAATAGCAAATTGCATTGATCGAGAATTTGTAAATCTTGCTTACTTCATCGGTTTTAGTTAATGCGAACTATACAAAACAAGATTTGTTGGTATTTTTTATTTTCCATACAGTAATTATTTTCAATCGTAACTTTTCTAGAGTTATTCATTTTGTGCGATGTAATTTCGATTCATTTTATGCGAGTAAGTAATCTAGCTAGTTAAAGATGAAAGAGACAAACTAAATTAAAGATATTTCATGTTCTCTTGAAATATTACTGGGACTCGAATTTGAATTTCGTGGGATTCTCGGGAGTGAAGTTTCAAGTCAAAATAATTTTAATGCGAAATTTACTTTTGTTACTGCAAAAAGGAAAATTGTAGCGACATACATCAGGTATTTTAAAGTTGTCTGTGTTACTACGTGTCCAAGAAAAGAGAGATAATGTAGTGACATTTTTGTCCGTTTGTACAAATATTGCACTGAAAGTTAAAAAATAAAACAAAAAATAAAGAACTGATTATTCTTGAAAGCAATCTTGTAAAAAATACGTTAAAGCTAAATTAACGTAAACTACAGCTGTTTTTTCTCAAAAAATTGAAAAAAAGTGAATTTTTGGGGGAAAAGACAATGTTTAAGGGACTTGAATTTTGCATTTATTTATGCTCGAGCTGAATGTCCTAAGCAGATATTTTTCGGTTTAAAAATGAAAATTGTGAAAACCATTTCATGCGTTGTTTCTTAACATTTTCGAACCTATAAAACATGTCTTGTACAGAAAATTATAAATTTGTCTGGTATTTTGGTTTTTCATCTCTGTTTCTTTGTTTTTTCTCCTTTCGCCTTTTACTATTGAACTTTTCTTCTAGATGTAATCGACGTCATCCAAAATTTACCATTACACTAAATTACTTGATAGAAATTACAGCACTCAAGAATATAATATGTTATTTGTTATTGTAATTTACTATAAACATTTATTTTACGTTTCTATTTATTTCTGTATAAGAAAATCTAATTGGAATTGTTTGATCCTAGAAATATTGAGATTGCTTATTAGAACCAACGTCTTTAAAGATTTTCACTTTGCGAACATAAAGAGGTTTCATTTGAAAAAAGTGAAGAACATTTGCGTAAAGTAAATTTATTTTGTTTTGCAGATGCACAAAAGAAATTCACAGCGGGGAAGACAATACAATGCACCAAAAAACAGAAGATCGAATGATGTTTCATAATGTTTAAATTAAGACTTCAAATAACTTTGGATATGTACTAACATTTCTGTATATGTAAATATGCGCATATGAAAGATTTCGTATGTATCATATTTTATATAAATGCATAATAAAGTAACTAAATCTTGAAAAATATTCCTTGTGTAATAAATATTAAATATTTCGGGATCTTCTTAAGACCAGTGCTGCAATCAGACATGAAAATTACAACAACAAAAAACAATAAATGAATGTCTTTCAGAAATGTGTTATTACCAATTCAAAAGCTAATGATTAGTTTACTGTGCAAAAACCATCCTCAGCAATTTCCTTCAGTCATATATTCATATTAAACATTCAGTGAACCAACATCCTTTAACCATTCCATTCAGTTGTTAAGTACAGTCAAACATTAAACTATGATAAATCGATTATATATAATAATATATATATATAATAATATATATATAATATATATAATATATATATAATATATATATAAAATATATATAATATATATATAATATATATATATAAAATATATATATATAAAATATATATATATATAATATATATAATATATATATAATATATATATATATATATATATATATATATATATATATATATATATTCAGAGAGACAATTGGACTTAAAATTTGCACTTGGAGTTAGATAGAGTTCTCTTTTATAAACTCTATTGCTTGATCAGCATGGTGTACCCAGTAATTTATACATCATTACGATGAACACGCTGAAATGGCAAGGCCAGTCAATTACGTAACCCCCAGAGATAGCCTCGGATACGAAGTTGGAAATCCCCGAGAGTATATTATCAAACGTTGGCGGAAAAAAATGAAATATGTTAACGTCCTTGAAACGAAAAACTGAATAAATACGATGCACGACCCCTTTCCCTGACCAGTGATCATGGGCGGTCTGCGGTGGTTGGTGGCGCTCGCGTTGGTGCTACTAGTGGCCACTGAGGGAGGAGACGCGGCGACTAGGCGAAGACCTCAGGGTCAATGCCCCCCACCCACAGGGGCAGGAACCTGCGCCTTCAGCTGCGGGAGTTGCCCGGAGGGACTAATCTGCTGCACCAACGGCTGCGGCGGAACCAACTGTATGGCACCAGTCGGCAGGACTATTAGCAGTGCTTCCGGATCAACCGATAAATAGGTTAGTTTAGGACACTACAAGGCAGAAGGAGGTTAGTTTAGGACATTGCTAGAAGATATCTAACGAATTATTCTTTTTAATCTTCTTTTTCTGCACTTCAAGGATTAGACGGCTCCTTTTCCCATATCAAACCATCTTCTGCGTGGTCTTCCTACACTCCTTCATCCTGTTGGGTTGTACTGCAGCATTTGTTTAGGTAGCTATTGTTCTCCATGCTTTCTAAATGGTTCGTCCAGTCTTATTTATATAGTTGTATATAATCATTTAAACTAAACATATTTAATTATTTTCTTATGTCTTCATTTATTTGTTTATGTAGTAAAGTACAACCTTTTACACTCCTAAAAAATTCATCTCTATACCTTGCATATTTATTTTTTTTCTTTTTGAGGGAGAATCTAATTTTTACTGCCATATAGGACAATTGAATGACATTTTCTAATGAATTCAGTTTCCTTAATGTTTTACGCATCAGGTTAAAATTTACTATAAGAGCATTGTGTTCCAACTACAACTATAGTGCACCATGTTGCTTTACACAATTGTTTCAAGCACGATCACATTTCACAGTAGATAAGCATAATTATAAATTCAGTAACGTGTTTCAAATATAATTAATTCGAGTAATATGATAGAATAGAAAATAATAGAACTAGCGGTCTTACAGAATGGCACAGACAATCTCGTCCTAATTAGTTTCCTGAGTCGGGATGAAATTTATTGTATCTTGCCAACGAATATACAGTGTAAAATTTCATATTGTGGAATTACGCATGTGATATTTACCTCTGAGTGACAGGCAAACTCGCATGCTTGAGTATTCGATGGGTACAATGAAATACCCTACTCTCCGTCAGAACGTGACTGGCAGAATGCCACAAGTACAAGATGGAGCCCAATAATCAGAAGGAAATGTCACAACGCGTATCTTCATTACATTAAATTTTCCACCACATGTTGGTCAAAAAGATATCATTTTCAACATTTCTAAATATCCTAGAAGTTTGTAACATTTATTGTGAGACATTCTGTATTACTCAAAATTTTAAATATAAAATCATCTTTTGATAAAAAAGGAAAAATATTTTTAAAAATAATTTGGAGGTTTTTAAGATACAAGTACCGACACATTAACGTAAGTAAAATTATAATTTTGCAACTTTTATCTTACTAATTCTTCAAATAATTCGTGGAAAACTCTTCAATAAAAGATGGGTGGAAGATTAGAATTCTCAAATATTCAAATGTTGTAATGAAAATCTCTCTACAATCGTACTTTTGAGTAAATAAAGCTAGTGTTCAATATTACATATAATTTATTTCCTCTCATTATTTCAATTGTTTGCAATTATCTTGCAACTTGCATTAAATGCAAGCAGATATTGCTCGAAAATACTTGGTTTTTGAAAAAATATACGAGACCTTTTTTAAGGATCTGATTTTTTTAGAATAGATTTTGTGTAGGACATAAACATTTTTATTCAAATTTATTGTTTTTCAATGATACCTTTTTGCAATTATCGAAGGTTCAGAGAGTTCGCCAGAAATGAGACTAGCGGCACTTTTTTACCTTGATAGGTACAAATTTGAAGCCGTTTCTCTATCAAAAATTTGCCGTTTTCCGGCCTACAATTACAAAACCTTTTCTTCTCACAAAGTAAGGAAGAAAAAGTAAAATTAAAGTAAAATTAAATCTTTGGTGATAAAATAGTGTTTAAGCATTTTTTCCTTCTCCCTGTTCTACAGTAAAGAGAGAAAAAAGTATTGGAATTACCTCAGCAATATGATCTCAAATATTGGTCGTAAAATCATTGTTCTTTTTTCACTGAACCAAGGATGTTAAAATTGCACTGAAGATATCCAGACTAGCGAATGAGAAATAAAATATAAAGAACACTCTAAAATATTTAAATGTTGAATTAGCAGGCGTCTGACGTTTTTCTGTACATCTGAAATAACAAATCAGTCACAGACGTAAGACTACTATATTTTAGTTAACGAATAGCGGATATGGTGAACCTTTGATATATTGATCGAAAAAAAATGTTGGTTCCTATTTTTGCACTATAACTAGAATATATTGTACTATGATTAGTTTCCCAGAGATGCCCTTTACTGAGGAAGATGGTACCTATACATTTAAAAATTCTAGCAGGGCCACTTCTCACTACATGAGCTCTTCACAACAAAATTATTCAACTCATTAAATCGCTCTCCAAACTGCACAAAAGAAACCATTCGCATCACAAGCATAGAAAATGAGAGACAGATCTAAAAGGTAATGCCAGGAGGTCGACAATCAAACTGGATGAAATCTGAACCAAAAATTATGCACGCGTAATTTTTTTTGTAAAAAACAACATTCACCCCGATCCGTCACTTTCCTTTACCGACGAAAAATGAAGAAAAAACGACTGTGTAAAACGGGCGTTATAAACTGTCATATTTCCTTAGCGTATTATAAATAGAAGGAGAATGATAATGAAAACGAATGAGCACCGTTCTCGGTAGAAGGGATGTAAGGTCGCGAGTGTCGGTATTTCCCCGTCCGCGACCTCGCGCATCTTCCTTCTCAGGAACACTCTGACGCTTCTCAGAGAGCCAGAGGAAGGCAATCATCGGTTTGCGTCAGTCGCCGCATCTCTACGGCCGCGGTCGGTAGCGCGTGCGCAGATGCTGCTGTTTGTGATTGTTACGGTGGTGATGAGGGTGACGGTGGCGGTGGAAGAAGAGACTGTCACAGAGGATGAAGGGATTGCGCAAGACGTGAGTGTTTTGTTCGTTTTTATTACATTACTCATTGGAGTAAAAGAAGAACTCTATAAAGAGAATTTATTAAAACAGTTGTATAAACATAACAGAAACAATTAGAAAGTACTTAAACATTAAAACTTTCTTGAAAAATTTTAAGTCAATTATCTAAACATTACAAATCAAATGTTTTAAAATCATAAGAAGTTTCTAAAAATTGTAAAATTCACAACGGTTCTATCCTGAGGTTTAGAGCCATTATCGGGTGTTAGTCACAATACAAAGTCAAGTTTTGCAATGCAAAAAGTTATCCTAAAATTACTTGTACGTAAAGTTCCGAAATCCAAGAAGAACATTTGCATTGGGCCTCCAGTGCATATTCTTTTCACGAGTATGTATGAACCTGCGGATAAGTGTCGGAATAACTACGAAAAGACGAAACAGCGACGACTGACTATCACAATTCTAGTAATAAAGTTATTCAAAATATCTATTATTTCACACAATTATCTTCGAACCAGCAGTTTTTGTATTGTACCAACAGAAACTGAGTTTCTTTACAAATCTCCGAGTTATATTGAATTCACAAAATAAATTTCAAACGAAATAATAGATAGTATAAATACAATTATTTTTCAACTTCGGACATAAAAGAAGCAATATGTTTGAAAGTCCTTGCCTCGGCCGTAACGCTTATTTTTTAACCTTACGTATACGAGGTTACATTTAAAAAATTTTGTAAAAGAGAGAAAATAAAGGTTAAGTTTTACGTTAAGCAGCAATATTATATGAGATATTTACAGGACGGCTGTGTTTATTCAAAAATAGAGCGTTAAATACTTTACACTAATATATTATGGAATAGGTTACAATGTAATCACTTTCCCTAAAGGAGTACTGAAAATACAATTAAATATTCATAATTTGGGGTAATAACTCCCAATACATTGCCGACTACAGGAGTTTAAAATTCGCAACATGGAAATTTTTCGATAAGATCAACATTTTAATAGCTCGAAATCTTATTAATTGACAAATTGCACATATTTAATTTGTAGTGTGCTGGGGAACCATATATTTTACAAAGCATTTCACTAAACTGATTAACACATAAACTCGTATATTGCATAGCATTAAAACTGATTAGCCTGCGCAAGATACGAGAATCATAATACAGACACAACATTAACACAATGGCCATGACAATTTCAAATTTTTGTCATCTCTGCTAGTACTGTCTATATTATTTCTCGAATTTATTCTAGCCCGATAACATTTTACAGGAGAAGGCAACATTGAGCTGACAGAAAGGTCTTGCTTACAATTTGACATTTTTGCACAGGGGTTTACTTCACCATCCGAATCAGACCAGAAACAAGATTTGAAATGCCCGGAACTGGATCCGTATGTTGCGAGTCCGTGTGCATTTCTGTGCGGATGGTGCCCAGAAGGACAGATTTGTTGCAAAAACAACTGCGGAGGTACAGAATGTATGGAACCAGCAAAGCCGCATATTCCAACTGAGAAGGAGGTAAGCTGTAACGTCTTCTCATTAATCATTTCATTATTGTTTGTGTGTGGTATTTCCATTTTTATCCTACGATCCCACGTATGGTCTATCTAGAGATAACAAATAACCTTCTTAATCAAGTTTTTTTTTTATTGTTATTTAAGCTTGCATCAACTACTAGGTCATTGGCGACCATTATTGCGCGTAACGGTATTTGTAAAAATTGATGGTAACTATGAGGATGACACGATATGATGATGATAGGGGGTGAAAGGACGAACACAATACAACAATGGCCGAGAACTCAAACCCACGATCCTTCGGTCCGAGACCGCTACGACACTAGTGCCTTAGCGTTCTCGGCAGAGAAGCGGAACACAATTAACCTTAAAATTATAATAAGAAGAGTAATAAGAATTATAATAATAATAAATTATTATTATTATTAGAAGAATAAGAATATATTCGTGACTTGGGAGACATTTTTATTGCTGTAGGAGAACTTTATTCCTTCTGGTAGGATATGTAAAATGAAGATGATGAATTTATTTTCCCTTGTTTTATAACAAATAAAAATAGAAAGGCGCTTATTAATGTTGGTATTGCAATAATATAATATAAACATTGAGTTTGGTCTCAAAAATGTTCTGATCGAATGGCTATTACTGAATCACATGTCTGAGCATTATTAAAATTTTGCCATTTTATTTTTTGTAATTCTGAATGAAAATAGGGATTTGAAAATAAATTAATAAAAAATAGAACAAATTTAAAATTGGATACTTTTAGATAAAGGATCTATTCAGAGATGCATACTAGTCGTCCTGGAGTTTCACATAATGGATTTAGTACTGAAATCCAAGGATTTTAGGAAAACTACAAAAATGTACTAAACTACAAGTAACTATTGATACTTTTGCGTTCCTTAGTTATGACAACATGAGTCCCTCAAAAGAAGAGAGGTCTTGTAAATTCTAAAATAATTAATGAATCAAAGTTCATCACGTAACCCAAGAGCATATGTAGTGATAAATATAATACTTGGGATAGGGTAAATGAAGTATTACATTTCTTAAAAGATATCAAGTACTGTACGCTAAATAATTCATAAATGTCCAAACTGTACGACAAACCTTGATATTAATCCCAAAAATACATTTTCAACTGTGTGAAAGTTAAAGACAATTGATAAATGTATATAATTGGATATTTAAAAAAATGTAGTTGAATGCCTTTTGAACATACTCGACATTACGTTACGAAGCGGAGCAATAAAAACTACAATGCTGATGACTCCATTTCTGATAATTCTTCTCCACAGCCGAAGCACACACAAACGCATGCATGATTAACATTCAATTCTCTTTTCCAGCTGCGTTTTTGGAAGTTGTACGAACAGAGCATAAAGCCGCTGAAGAAAATTTCTGAATAAAAAATCTTCAACCCTGACTGATATTTGATTTTTTATTGAAAAATTGTTAGTCTACGTACCCATTGGAAATCATACAAGTGGCTGCTTCTGCAATATCATAGTACGAAAACTGGCTTTGTATTCCATACCTGTAAAATGAAAATATATTATTACATAATGTATAGTATAATTTTATTTATCTGCTACCCTCGACACCATGATTACTTATAAACAATATTAAGTCAATTAACGTTTTCTACACACTGACACACTTTTTGAAAAAGTATGAAATTATAAAAGTCTGACGAAAATAGTGTTTATAGAAATTTTCATAAGACCAATATTTGAAGATTTTTAATGCTTTCTAATGGTTCTTTGTAGTGATATTTTTCTATAACTTCATGTAAGATCAAATTTAATGTTGCAAATGTTGCATTGTCTTTAATTGCAAATACACAGACGGCACAGAGGATTGTAAAACTTAATTGGAAAAAATAATGAGTCCATAATAGCACACAGTAGCTCTTTATAATTTGTAGCGATAACAAAACAAAATATTGCAATGTATACCTTTCAAATACTTGAGTCATCTCCTAAGAGTTATTACATTTATACAAATTCAAAACTTTCAATTAATGTGGTACATTTTTATGAAGTGTGTTGAACTTTATTCACACAAGTATAAAGAAATAATTGTTCTCAACTGGAATTTGAACTCGAGAACTTAAATTCCCGAAGCGAAACCATTACCTCTGTAGTTCGCGTTTCTTATGTTAAAGTGCAGCTAGAGTTTCTATATGTTGCTTTGATTTTAAATATAATATTCAACACTGTCACGAAATATCATCAAATTGCGCGAAGACTATTATTTTTTTAAAATTAGTCCACAAAAAATGATTCAAAAACTAAACATTAACACAATTATTGCATTAAGAAAAACCTATATTTAGGTAGACGTAAGAGGGCGTCAAAAAATGTTGAACTTAACAAATTTTCAGAAGTTAAAATAGTTTAAGGTTTATCGGAGTTACACCATCAAGCAGTCCCTCACTCTATTTCAGCAAAATATTGAAGGAAAAAATTAGTAGTAAAAAATAGTTATAGGAGGCCATGGAAGTACATTAGACTTTTCCAATTTTCGGAAATTTATGGGTTTTATTGAAAATATAATTGTACCATATTTCCAAGTGAATATTGCACGAATCTAGAAAAAATCAAAGACTAGGAGCCACTTTTGAGAAACTTTTGAAAATGTCAATGAAGGTCTATGAAGATACCACCCACAAAAACAATGAAAAATTCGATTCACAATCGAGAGGCCGTGACGAGATTCAGATCGATTAGAGAATATGCATTTAGGTAAAAATACACAGTATAGTTTAGGCTCTAGACCTGTCCACCGACACACGGACAGATAAGGAAACATCCAAGGAGATAAAATAATTTAGGTTTATTTCTTTAAACCCCGGTAAATGGGAAAATAATTATTATAATAAATGCAACAGAAATGCAAGACATGTGGGACGACACAATGCGTTACGATTCCATTCTATCACACTGGTTATCATTAATTTCTACAGTCATGCAAGTGAAAATCGCGTAGACATATCCCTGTAATAATATTGTTCTTTGTTTATCAAAATATACTAATAGCATTCCTTTTCCGCTATAAATGTAATGTTTTAACGCGTTTCATGAAAAAATGAGACGCGATATCTATTCGAAATATTCCGAGAACAGGCTAAGAACAAACTACAGATCCCAGTTTTGTTGAAGATGCATTTCAAATTGCTTCGAAACACAGATTCACAAATCTTTTGTACGAACGTAAACACATCTCATTACGTACACTTCCAGGGAAAGGCCAGAAAGGCAAAGAGTTGCAGATTCACCTCCTACAATAGCAAAGTCCAAAGCGAGCACCTGGAGGCGGTCGGGGTCCAGCCGAAAGCAACCCCCAAAACAAGAAGCAAAAGCGATGAATGCGAGCGCAGCTGCGAAGGAAGAGGAGTCGCTGGGCCTTCCCCACGCTCGTTTGCGGCGGCGCTCTATGACGCACGTGCCCAAAGGGAGCAATACAACCGCCTCGCAGCAGCCACATTCAAATACGCGAGGCGGCCGGTGAGACGGCACGCCAGTCACCATGCAGCTCCGGACACGCGTGCAGGCGTCGCTCGCGCTGCTGGCTGCGACGGTGGCGCTCGCGGCGGCCGACTCTCAAACCGCCCCTACGACGGAAATTCTCATCGACTGGGACTACGAGACAACGGGTCTGGTAGGTGTTTTTCACGTCGAAATGCCTTTTCTGGGTCGATTTAAGTTGTTACGAGTCCCAGGTGATCTACCGGAAGTGGGAAATATCAAATGCATTTGCTTCGGAAATGCACCCCATTTGCTAAGTGTAAAATTACCTTTTTAAAACTACTTTCTAAGACTCAGAAAGCTGGATAATTTCAGTTCACCATAAGCGGTGTTCAAAAAGTACGACTATTTCAGTTTTAATTCGATACACTTATAAATTTCCGTAAGAATTTTATTATTCCTTAAGTATATGATAACGTGCGAAGATAAATCTTCATCAAAACAATGTAAATATTTGTTTTCAGGGTGAGTGCATCAGAATAATTGGAACGCTGCATTATTCCGTTTAACAGTTCACTGCACTAGTCTCCAAAAATGCATGGACTCCAAATGGAATTTTAAGACAGCAAGCCGGAATCATGTGCTTTATTTTTTTGCCTTATATTTACAGTGACCGAATAAATTGCCTTCACCAGAATTCTTTTCTGAACATTCATTTACAAGAAATTAATCTCATTATTAAAACAAATAGGGCTCGAGGATTGCTCCTGGGTAGCAGCATACTAGCTTCCCGTAGTGTGGCCCTGGATTCGATTCCCGGTCGAAGCAAAAATGGAGATGCAGCTTTCTTTAAAATAGTCTCAGTTTCTGTAGCTGTGTGAGAAAGAAATCACAGACGGAGTTAGCTAGTTGAGGGGAAGGGAATATGCCGTGTTTGCCTCGTGCGTCTCTTGCCTCGTGCGTCTCTAGCCTCGTGCGTCTCTAGCCTCGTGCGTCTCTAGCCTCGTGCGTCTCTAGCCTATGTACTAATTGATCAGAGCAGTTAACGCGCCGGCTGCCGCGCTACCACAACGTGTCAAATCGGGGGTAGACCGGCCGAGGCGAAGCGACGTTTGGGACAGGTGTGCGCAGAGACGGCGGAGTGAAACCGTGACGGGCGGTGCTGCAATCAAACAAATTTATGGTGGTGTAAAAGAACAGTTGGATCGAATATGGCTGTTTGAAGTGAAGAGACAGCATTTGATGAGAGTTAACTAGATGCAGTGATTAGGGAAATGGAAGCGCGACAGGAAGCCGGAAATCAAAAACATTTAATACATGGAATTCGTCGGCCGCGGACACGTGTTATATGTCTCGCCCGTGTGTAATGCAGCAGCGGCCGTACTATGTGCAGCATTTCGCGCGTATATTGCATAGAGGATTGACTTGAGACTGAACTGCCGACGGACCGTCCAATCGCAGTGCGCTTCGTTGGTACCGTGTGAGACATAGTTGTACGCGGCTGGGGGGGGGGGTGACTCCGCGAATCCAATCGGCCGTTGGCGTTGGGGCCAGCGGAGTGATCGCGAGGGAAGCATTTCCGACGGCTCGGGCGGACACGAAGTGCCGAACACGCCGCCGCGTTTGCCACGCGGCCCCTCGTCTCCATCGAGCAGTGGTTTTAAACGATCAGGTAGCGTTCATTGTGCAACTTAATTACCAAGGCTTGCGTATTGGCGTTTTGTAAATATACTTTGTAAATGAGTGTTTCTATTATTTAAGAATATTTTAAATGCACAAACAGAATTTCTTATGTCATTTCCCAAATGCAGCGCCAAACCCCTGGAAGCCCATTCGCGAAAAATAGTAAACCTGCCTTGATATATTTATTTTGTCGCTGAGGATGTACCGCTTCCCAGTGTACGTCACAATACTGTATACTTTATATATTTGAAACGAAGAACGTGTTTAATAATAATCTAGAAAACTGATATTATGTTAAGAAGAGAACGCTGAGTCGATCAGGCGTAGTAGCGGCCGCGCGTCCGCTGCACAATCAAACCGGGCAGTGCGCGACTGAGTGAGGTTGGTCAGTAGCGAACTGGGCAGCACGAGCGCCGGTGTAGTAACGAACTGGACGCACGAGCGCCAGGGTGTATATTGGAGAGGGTGGCTAGTGCGGGTGACGAATATAGACGGAGAATCCCGGGCCAGTGCGGATGGGCTGTGATGCCCCCAATAAACAAACGTGTGTGAAATTACAACAGTTGGAACTGAATTATAGTTGAAGTGGAGATTAGAGGTTGTTAAAAAAATATCAGATGATTAGAAGAACAAGTAGTGGAACAGACCGAATTCGTGAAAAACATTAAACAGTGCGAATATTAAGTGATCGATAGGACACGCATCTCCAAGTCCGCTTGATGTAAGTGCCAGGCAGCGGGCGCACCGTCGAACAATCGTCTGGGGATTGACGGAGAACGGTGTAATTGTGGGCGCACCGAGGACGCGCTGAGTGTGGGCAGTTACAGGAACCAACCGCGAATCGGCTTCCAGGAAACTTCAGGGAGGGACGGGGAGTTTGCCGACGCGCCGCGCGTGCCGTGGCACGGCACGCTCGCTTCCAGTAGCCGCGCTGGACATCGAGCTTCAAATGGTACGTTACTGCGTGCACGAACTATTTAAAAGCCTTGCCACTGCGAATTGTAAAAACTTCATGTATAGTAGTGTGTAATTATTAGAACCTCAATGCACAAATGAATTCTTTTAAATATTCTTCTAGATGCAGCTCAATTTCCCCTTGGAGAGCCATTCACGAAATGTACCCTCCTTTTAGTATTTATTTGTCGTGAAAGTACGATTCCCAGGTCGGCAAATATATATTATATATACTTATATATATATATATATATATATATATAATAATAATATATATAT